TCCCTCTGCTTGTGTTCCCTCTCTCACTGTGTCTCTCTCTGTCAAACAAATAAATAAAATCTTTAAAAAAATAAAATAAAATAAAAATTTAAAAAAAAACTTCTTTCATATCCCTCCTAGCACTTAACCCAGGCCTGGGCAAATAGTTAGTAGAGAACCGCCACTTGTTAACTATTTGTCCAGACCAGAAACAATGACCCAGAACTTATTTGATATATGTTTCCCTTAACTACCATGTAGTCTCACTGAAATCTAAGAATGTGTTTTAGTCATGCATGTGTATACCGTAAATATCTAAGCAACTGAGCTCCCCACCCGTTCAGACATCCTGCTCTGCAAATGCACCTGATTGAACCCTCAGTTACAGAAAAACCACCATTTCTCCTCATTTGAACTCCCTTTCAAAGTAAAAGTGGCCCCTTTTAGCCACTCTATACCCAGCCTCTAATTCTGCCCTGCTGAAACTGGTCACGATCAGACAGTGCCATCTGCATCAGGAAAGATCGTTGAGGCTTCAAACAGTCATGCAAACCAACTCAGGAGCATTTTGGCTGCTGCTGTCGAGGTGACTGGTGATTTCACAAGCTGCCACAAGAGCCATCCCTGGGAAGAGACTTTGGGGTCCCCTATGCATCCAAAGTGATCATACTAATTTACTATACCTAGGAGCAAGCTCTAGCTATTGTATGCTACATGTCCCAGCATTCTGGAAATGAAACTTAACAGCATTCTGGACATGAGAGTTAATAGCTTTTAGAGAACCACCTTAAACCACCTGACCTTTTTTTTTTTTTTTTAAGTAATCTCTACCCCTAATGTGGCTAGAGTTGGTTAGCTATCTGACTCTTGATCTTAGCTCAGGTCTTGATCTCAGGGCTGTGAGTTCAAGCCCTCAGTTGGGCTCCACACTGGGTGTGGAACATAGTTAAAAAACAAAAAAAAGAGTCGCATGCTCTACTGAATGAGCCAGCAAGGCACCCATCACCTGGCACTCTAAACAAAATTTTTAAGTATTAATGCCTCATCCCACACCACACATTGATGAAAGGTTGCCAGACACTGGAAGAAAAGAATGCCATAGTGTGGCTTACCGGGACATGTGGAGCTTGCCACCTGCCACTCCACCCAGCAGGCAGTGTGGAGGCTGAGAATCAACTCCGTTACATTAGAATTCTAACGCAAAAGTAACTTGTGAGCATGCTACCTACTCTGGTTGGGAAGTAGCGGCTTGTCTTAAATGTCTTTAAGGTGCTCGAGAGGATGAAGGTGGTGAAGAAGAGAATGCAGGACCAAAAGAGCACGTCAGGAGTATAGGGCCCATGATGGCCACACGCAGATCCCGTGAACTCTCCATGCATCTCCTGGCATTCCTGGAGGAGCAAGCATTCTGGGTGACAAGAGGCAGGCACAAGGGAATCGACAGCTCTGGCCTTCGAGGCCCACCGCTCACTGTCACCCGGCAGTGGCCGGGGGTGCGCGGGGAGCGCAGGCTGCCAGCCGCGTCCACCCGACCTCCACGCAGCGTGGTGCTGCCGCTTACACAGGCCCCTTCCGAGCATGGCAATGACTTCTCATCCCTAGGCACTTTTGGAAATGAAGCCAGGATGGTCCCAAGCAAGCATGCAGTTCTGGGAGGGCCCTGGCAATGCGTAGTGTCTATATGACAGAGCACTTCCCAGTCTGAATGTTCTCCAAGCCTCACCACATCTGGGTGTGCCCCCCGCCCTGCCTGGTGTCATGCCCGCATATCCCTAGCGCAGGGTCACCGGGTAGGGGGTGTCTGGGAGAGAAGAGGAAAGCAATCTTCTTTTCCCTTTATATACAAGAGGACTTCTGAAGGGGTAAAAAGGGTCAGTAAGAATAGTTTAAATAAAAAAGAACTTTCTTTTTGAAAATGCCAGACCTTGCGGAAGGGCTACCGAGCTTCTCCCTGGCAGTCACAGTGCCATAGTGCAGCTCCCAGACTTACACTAACAGTCAGGTTGGCCCAGTGGACTTCTGTCGTCACGATATTGTGGTCCTTCCAGTACTGTAGGGTATGATTGTTGGGGTTTTCTGGGAGAGTACACCTGCAGCTAAGGGGAAAAGGAAAAAGATTCCTGAAGAAAGCAGCCAAGTACTCCATTAAATACTTTTAGCCATGGGATGCCTGGGTGGCTCAGTTGGTTAAGTGTCTGCCTTCGGTCCAGGTCATGGTCCCAGGGTCCTAGGATCGAGTC